AACCCACACAGTCTTCCTAAACCAGCTAATCTTGTGGTGTTGATAAAACTACCAGTTTAGTGGCAATTAGTGCTCTTCAACCACACCCAGTAAAACATCTCATACAGACCTCTAATACCACATCTACATTGGTCTTTAAGTCAGGTTCCAGAAGCCCTCAGTTCCACGAACCAGATTCTGCATTTGTGCTTTTAAATCTGGTTTCCAAGATGCTAACAAGTCTGCCACCACTCAACTCGTGGCAGGTTTAACAGCTAAAAGCAACAGGAGATGGCTCGCAGATGGTTTTATGTTCTGGGAACCATTCTAAGAATTTTTTTTTTTTGAAAACAGAAAAAAAAAAAAAAAGAGTTCTCTCAGAGATAGCAAGAACTGCCAATGCTGGAGTCAGAGATAACACAATGTGGAGCTGGAGGAACACAGCAGGCCAGGCAGCAGAGGAGCAGGAAAGCTGACATTTTGGGTCAGGACCCTTCTTCAGAAACCTACTTTTGAACCCAGATCACGCAAATTAAAAAATACCCAAATCCATCACTATGCCGTAATCCTGTTTAAGTTTCTTTTTTGCACGTTTTGCATTTTACAAAAAAGGAGATAAAGTAAAAAGTCGTGATTAATGCATACAGCACAAAAGCATCATCCAATCACTAAGTCAGTGCCTGGGACTCAGGTGCATTGTAAAGGCCAAGTTTGATTGTTCAAAAGATAATCTAAAAAAGAAAGAGAAAAATAGTTCTGAGTTATTTTATTTTCCTGAAAGAGAATTCAAAGATACTCCTCATAACATGCTGCAACACAAAAAGCCAATAGTGGCAAATTAACTGAAAATGACAATAATAAATCACTTCATTATATTTTGCCTGTCCAACAGGTGGTACTGGGTAGTACAGGGTAACTGCAGCATTTCTACATACAATGTTGCATTTGCAAACCATAATTCCAAGTACAATTCTATTACACTGAATTAGGACAGATATTATAATCTTAATAAAGTTTGAATGTTTCCAAAGTCTTTGCTCATTTTGAAACACGTAAACGTTTATACATTCACATTAAAGTCATGATTACAATATTTAAGATAACAAGGTGTAGAGCTGGATGAACACAGCAGGCCAAGCAGCATCAGAGGAGCAGGAAAGCTGACGTTCCGGGTCTAGGCCCTTCTTCAGGAATGTATTTATTTCATAAAATTTATTTTAGAATTGCTATCACTACATGGAAATACTATAGCCAGCACTCCCTGTAGAAGGAAAATGGACACCACACAGTGTGGTGTGTCTTCTACCTCAATCATCTATTTGCAATGAATTTGCCACCACCAATGCTTTCTATGGAAAACCAAAGTGAGGAGCATCCTCTGAATTTTGTTGCTGTGACAACAGTTAAACAAAGATGAGAGGATTATTTTTTGGTACCAGTACCCTCCCAAATTATCAAGCAAAAATCCATGTTATACTTGAGTTACAAATCAGCATGAAGGTCTAAGTGACTGAAGCAAGGTGGATGGAGAGCACTACCTTCATTATTCTTGTATCAGATCAGTGATTACAGAATGAGGCTGCATTACAACAGAATCAGTGTTAAATATATTCATCTTTACTCCAGGTATAGTGTGATTAACAGTATGTTAGCCATGCTTCAATTACTGGCATTCTTACTTCTAGGTTTAAAAAAAAAAGTAGACTCAAGACTCATTTTTACTAGTCAACAGAAAACAGCTTAAGTCTCAAAAAAAGACTTCAGTATACAGTCCAGGCTGACATTCAGCACAGGAGATACTGTCTTTCAGTTGAGACTTCAAGCCTAAAATGCACCTTCCCTTCCAGATTAATGTAAAAGAATCCATGGCATTAATCAAACAGCAGGAGAGTTCTCCCCAGTGACATAGCTAGCATTTATCCCTCATTTATTTAAAATACATTGTATCCAATTTATGCACAAAATCTCTCAATGTTATAACGTTAATGCACAAAAGGCAAAAGTGCAAATCTTTCTTCTGTGTGCACCATGAATTGTGCACAGGTTAACTCAAATAATTATTCCAATTAACTGAGAACAGGATTTTGCTACTTTGAGGTGAGAATACAAGTTTTAGCCACGTGTTGAGACTGTGATTTGCACCATCCTCAGATCAGCCATGTTATTGATGCGAACAAATGGAGCAGAAAAAAATATAGAAAATAGAATAATATTATGTTACAATGGTCTTTATTCATTATTTTAGATGCAACTCAAATATAGATACATTAACCTCATGTTACAAAGTTTGCAATACAACACAAGCTTTGAAGAATGAAATGTCACCAGAGTGTAACACTTCAAGTTGATAAGACTCAAATTTTTCAGTTCTTTCATTTCCTTCATTCTGATGAACAGGATAACAGGTATTTAGATTGGTACTACTAGGACTCAAAAACACTGCATACAGTTTTTAAAAAGGGCAGTGGTGAAATCTCACACACCATAAACCAATTTAAAATGTATTCTAATCACTTAATAGTAAGCAGGGAATCTTCTTTGTATGAATTATGGAAAATCATTAGCCTTCAAATCTCCATGACAGCAGCAACCAGACTGCAGCATCTATTAAATAACATAACATCAATTCTATTATTTGAACATATTCAAAAATTCAACTACTTTATTTATACAAGTTGAATCTCACTTGTGGCACCTCTTTACAGACGCTAAACTTACTGAACATTTTCTAATCAAGTACACATGACATTTGCAGTCATTCCGTGATGTCATTCCTTTCATTTTCCCATTCCAAATCAACCTCTCAATTTATTAACAAATCATCTATTATCTTAATGCATCAGTGCATGCCTCAATGAAACTGGAAGGCTTGTAGAAGAACCTTTGTGTGAAAGTCTTCCAGTTCAAACAAAGCATGCATAAATGAACAGTTGGATGTTATCTTCTTTCAACATTACATCAATACTTATTTTCAACTGAAAACAGTGCACAGTACATCCTTCTGCAGATTCCACCTCATATCTTATCTTGTGTAAAAGGTATGCACTTGATACTTTACAGCTACTCAGAGACATGTTCACTAAAGTAAAATAAAGGAATTATAAAATATCCTTTGATTGTATATTATATACAGCACAATTTAGTTGATTCAACTAGTGCCACTAAACTACCTTCAGAGCCCATACACCTTAGTTGAACAAAATGTCATAATTGTAATTGTGTCCATATTCTATTTCAATATTTGCATAATATAATTTACATAAAATAATATACTGCTCTGGAAAAGTAACAGCAATTTATCATACTATGATATTTAATCCAAGTCAAACAAAACTGCTCACAACCAGAGATATGAAAGCTGGTCAATCAGTTCCTGAAGCCAGTTAATTTAATATAGATTTAACATTACTCCATAAGTGATGCACAAATTAGTTATTTACAAAGATGAACAAATCCAATCACAACATTTGCTGCTTCAAACAAAACGTATTAAAAACAATTATCAAGAAATGATTGAGCACAAGTTAGAATTTCCTCAAACCAGAAAACAAAGCTCCATTTTCCCTTGCAGTTCTGTGTGGTATCTACTCTTCATAAACTTTCGCCGATTGAGGATAACCCAAAACTAAAACAAGCTAGATATCAGAAACAGGACCCTCACCACAGGAAACCATAAATGGTTGATAACGTTAAACGTAAAACTTTTGGAGAATCCCTCAAAGCACAGACTAAAATAGCACTTCATCAGGAACGATAAATAGCCAGAGGACAAGAAAACATTGACCAGTCGCGCAGAATTTTGATAGATCAGTCATATGAGAAAAGACGTTTAAAAATGTTGTTGTGTCACACTCCCGATAGTACAAATTGATTACGATACGCTCAGAGAACAGCAATCCCACTAGAAATATCGACGTTGATCAAACAGTATCTTGCTTGATAAAACCGAAAGAACTGCGGATGCTGTAAATCGGGACCAAAAATAAAAGTTGCTGGAAAAGCTCAGCAGGTCTGGCAACATCTGTGAAGAAAAATCAGAGTTAATATTTCGGGTCTGACCTCTCATATTTCTGAGGAAGTAACCGGACCCGAAACGTTAACTCTGATTCGTCTTAACAGATGTTGCCAGACCTGCTGAGCTTTTCCAGCAACTTTTATTTTTGTTCAATATTTTGCGTGAAGCTGATTTGACAAGGAAGCAGCGTATTTATTGTAAATGTGAAGGGAGAAAAACAACATATTTTCGCTTGGTCTATTAATTTACTTGCCATTCAACTTATGCGCCACCATTCGGAAAGCTTCACAGGGACTGTGTGAATCAACGGAGATTTAAACAAGGGCAGTGCAGGCGAATAAGAAAGCAACCAGCTTAAAGGCGAAACTATTCGAAATATCGAAACGATAACGCCCAGTCGAAATCGAGGGCGATTTAAATATAAAGACATTCAGGATTGGAAGCAGCTGCTGGTCATTCAACAACCAGGAAACAACCAGACAGGATTCCCACCTAACCATTTTCCGGGGGATCTCTAGTTTCCTGCACGAAGCAGGATACAGTCCGAAAAGGGCTGCGGGAGAGGTCATAAAAACAAATTCAGCCCCACAGCTCTCTTTGGGACTCTGGAGCAGCCAGAATCCATAAGTAGTTCGGATTCGACATAACTCCCTCCCTCCTTCCTTCCTTCCTTCCACAGCGAGAATGGGCCGGGAGCACTCAAACAGGGAAAGGACTCTCTACAAACCCCCACCCCCCCACTTTTTCCTCCAGCCCGCTCCGCCCGGACATGGAAAAGACTCTTCTTCCAAATAGTTCCAGCTGAGCGGTGGATCCGGTCGTGGCGTCCTTTCCACAACATCTTGCCATGGAGACCAGGCCCCTGGTACCCTAAACCCTTCAACCTCACCCACTTTCACTCCTAAAACCCCTACCCATAATCACTGCACAGTTTTCCCCATTCGCTATCAATATGCCCGACCCTCTTACTCGTTAAACCCCAGTCACCCCCCAACTCGACTCTTACCGTCAACTGTTTACCGGTGCCGTTACAGAAAGTCTGTTTCCCCTCGATAGCCCCGGAACTCCTCCTGCTGCTCCCGGTGTGAGTCCGGGTGCTCCTCCCCCTTGTTCCCGCTGCGTCTCTCGATCCTGCTCTCAGCCCTAGTGCTCCGCCCCCTGCTCCCGGTGCTCCTCCTCTTTGTCTAGCCCCCCCAGTCCTCGTGCTTGCTCCTCCCGGTGTGGATCCTTGTATCCCACACCTCCCACGCCCCCCTCCGACACACCTACCAACCAACCTACCTCTGCTCGGTGTGAGTGCCGATATTCCTGCTCTCCGTCCCGGTGGTCCTGGTGATCCGATGTTCGTGGCCCTGGGACGATGTAACGTCACGGTGATGGCGCTCAGAGACGGAGAGGCCCCAGTAACACATTGAACACGGTCAGTGAGAACACATCGTATTTACAGTCTGTCAGAGACAGCAGAGAACAGCGCCTTTCATCGTAAGAGCATCCCAAAGCCTTTCACAATTAATTTTTGAAAAATAATCACACTCAAAGCGAGTTCACTCCTCCAGTGCCTGCCCACTGTCTACAACGCTCTAGTCAGGAGTGTGATATAGGATGAGTGCAGCCGCAACAACACTCGAAGCTCAACACCATTCAGGACAAAAAAGCTTGCTTGTTCGACACAGCAGTCACCATTTTAAAAGTTCACTCGCTGAACCATCAACAAACAGTGGCAGCAGTGAGTACCATCTACAAGATGTATCGCAGAAAATTAACCAAGTTTCCTTCAATCCATCTTCGGAACAGATAACCTCAGCCACCTAGAAGGAACAGAAAAGCAGATGCCTGGGAACACCAGCACCTGCAAGTTTTCCTCTAAGACATGCCATTCTGAATTGAAATATCTCACCATTCCTTCACTGCTGCTGGCTCAAAATCCAAGAACACCATTCCTAGTACCTGCAACAGATAGACTGCAGCCATTTAAACAGGCAGCTCATTAAGTCAAGCAATTAGAGATGGGCACAAAATTCAAGCCTAGCTAGTGACGTGGCAGACACTTAGTGCGCAGAAATATTCTTCAAACAACACTGAAATTAGGACCAGATAAGGCTGAAAGACATAGAACCATTTGGGACATTGAGTCCGCTCCACCATTCAATGAGATCATGGCTGATCTGATAATCCTCAACTCCATTTTCCAGCTTCATTCCCATGATCCTTGATTTCCTGACTGGTGAAAAATATGCCTGCCTCAGCCTTAAATATGCTTAAAGACCCAGCCTCTACAGCCCTTTGCGGTATAAAGAACTCCCTGGAGTGATTACCCTCAGAGAAAAAGTTCTCCTCATCTCTAATTTAAATGGCAACCTCTTATTCTGAGATTATGCCCTCTAGTCCTGGACTGTCTCATGAGGGGAACCAACCTCTCCACGTCTATCCTGCAAGACCCCATAATCCTCTACATTTCAATAAGGTCTCCTCTTCTAAAGTCCAGTGAGTACAAGTTCATCCTACTTAACTTCTCATCATAAAAAAGTCCCTCAATACCCAGAATTAACCTACCGAACCTTCTCTGGACTGTCCCCAATTATTGTATCTCTTTTCTTTAATAAGAGGACCAAAAATGTTTGCAATATTCCAGATGTGGCCTGACTAGTGCCTTGTATGGTTTTAGAAAGACCTCTCTATTTTTAGAATAAAGAACTGCAAATGCTGGAGACCTGAAACAAAAGCAGGAAGTATTGGAGAACTCTGACAAAGGGTCACTGGACTCAGCATTAACTCTGATATTCTCTCCACAGATGATGCCAGACCTATTGAGTTTCTCCAGCATTTTCTGTTTTTGCTCTCTATTTTACATGCCATTCCCTTAGAAATAAAGCCAATGGTTAATTTGTGTTCCCTTTTACCAACTGAACAAATAAGTTAGCTTTTTGTGATTCATGTACAAGGACTCCAAATCTCTCTGTTCTGCACCTTCTACAGTCTTTCCCTATTAAATAATATTCAGCTCTGTTATTCCTCCTGCGAAAATGGATAATCTCACATTATGTTCCATTTCAAAATTTTGGCTCACTCACTTAAATTGTCGACTCATTGTGTCATCCTCACTACTTGCCTTCTAACCTATTTTATGTCATGTACAAACTTGGCAATAGTACATTTACTTCCTTCTTCCAAATCATATACATGTAAATAACTGTGGCCTTAGCACTAATCCCTTTGGCACTCCACTCGTCACAGGTTGCCATCCTGAAAGTGCTCCTTTTATCCCAACTCTGTCTTCAATAGTTAACCAATTCACTATCAATACAGTGAGCTCTTATTAAGTAGCCTTATGTGTGATACCTTATTGAATGATAATCTGTTTCATTCATGTTAGTTGATGGATAAATATTTTCCAAGAATTCCAGGAGAGCTGTCCTATGGTTCTTCAAAATGGTAGCATGGGAGTTTTACCCATGAGGGCAAATGGGGCCTTGGTGTAACATCACAGCAGTTAGACTGCGCAGCACTCCTTCAATACAGTATTTGTGTATTGAACAGTATTGTACACTCAAATCCTTGGAGTGGACCTTAACCCTTAACCTTCTGATTCAGAAACAACAGAGAGCTACATTGAGCTTCAATTTGTAACACTCAAAATAGCACTCTGTATCCTGTAACATTGACACTGATGTGATGATACTATGGCTTTAAGAGGTACATTTTGTCCTTTTGTTTTGAAGACAGGTTTTAAGACAGAGGTATCGAGCTGTCTGTTTGAATCCAATAAATTAAACAGCTTGTGAGGCCCTTTTTTTTTAAAGTTGGAACGATAAAAGCAGCCTGAATGGCTGGGGTCAAGCTCCCACAGAACCAGAATTTTTAGTTTTAGCTTGTAGCAGTTGCTGGGGTCTTGAAGTTGGGTTTGGAAGCTGCAGTACATCTCTCCCTGCAACTCGGTCTCTCTCTTAGGGTTTTCTCTTGATGTTTTTCCTCCTGGACTAGAGAATTGCATGTGAGACAATCTATTTTACTGAATTTGCCTTTGCCAAGAGTGTGTTTATGGGATGTTACTATGTTGAAACAGTCACTGTTTAGTAGTTAAATAATCTATTATTCTGTTAAGTTTTCTAACAGAATTAAGTTATTTCAATTTTTTTTCTTTCTTTGGTAGTATATTAATTATAGTGTATAAATAAAATGTGGTTTGCTTCAAGACTGGAAGTTTGACCAATCGAATTAGATCCAGAACACAACACCTGGTACTTGAAACAAGAAAAAGTTATGGTCTAGCCTATCGTCTTAATATATTTTGAAGGGCTTTAGTCTGATCCATAACACTTGGAATGATGCACCACATGCTCTGCCTCTGACAGCAATTCATTAGTAAATGTAGCCAAACCTGAACATCATCCAGGATTGTGCTAATACATTCTAGATTAATTTTTATCTTAAAGGTACACTGCAAGTAACATTTGCATCACATTGGTGCCAGGTAATGGCCAACTTCAACAAAAAATCTAACCCATCTCTCCATGATTTATAATCTTATTATCACAGTGTTCCCTCCCCATCAATATCCTGTAGTTACCACTGACCTAAACTCAACTGGACCAATGAATAAATGCTGTGGCGTCAAGAACTACTGGGCATTATGCAAAAAGAGGTTCATCTCCTGACTCCTCAAAACATTTCTACTATCTGCAAAGAGAAAGTAAAGAATGAGGTAAAATATACTCCACAAGATAAATAACATTGCAACAATATTCAGGAAACACAACACTGTTTAGGGCAAAGCAGTCATCTTTGGCTGGCACATCCATTATTTAAATGTTCACTCAATGTGCACACACACAGCCCCCCACACCCCCATTTGTCTGGGCACTATGGCTTCAGTGTCATTTACAAAATACACAACAGCAACTCACCATGGCACTTCCCACAGAATCTGCCAATCTCATGAGATTTATCATCTGGAAGGAAAGTGACAGCAGAAGCAATGGAATACAACTACTTACAAGTGCTTTTCTAATCATCTTGATTCAGAAATATTTTGTTATTACTTCATCGTTGTCTGGTAAAATTTCTTGAACTACAACACTTGTAGCAGGCCAGGCAGCATCAGAGGAGCAGGAAAGCTGATGTTTCGGGTCTGGACCCTTCTTCAGAAAACACTTATAGCACTGTGTGAGTACCTTCACCTCATGGACTGCAATAATTCAAGAAGGCAGCTTGCCATTTCCATCTCAAAAACAACTAGGAATGAGCAACAAATATTGGTTTTGTCAACAATGCTCACACTGATGAATGTCAACAGGAGTGATGTAATACATCTATTGTATCACCACTGCAAGTGGTGTATTACATCTTAAAAGCACTGGGAATGTGATAACCCTTATGTCGAGCAATGCCTATAATTTCTTTTGCGAGGTGTACCTTTAAGACTAAAATCAATCTAGAGTGTATGCTGAAAGATTATTAATTTGTTATGATGAGTTTCCAATAAATGTCCATGACCTGTGGTTGCTATGGGGATGAACAGCTAAAAAGCAAACGGTTAAAAAAAAAGTAAATTGCAGTGGAGATTGGTTAGTCAGTGTTTTCTTTCTAGCAGTTACACTGATAAAAAGGAAATAAGCAAAGATCAGTTTAAATGGAACAGTTTCTGTTTGACAGTTTTTGAACAATTCTATTGTTAAAGTGGGTCTCTGAAAATAGAAAAGAGACTGTTTTATGATGTGTTTTGCACAGCTGGAAAGAGAAGAGAACTGACAGCAGGAAGGACAATGAATTGTGGATTTGACAGGACCAATTGACACTATTATAGTGTTGTCAGAGCCCACCACACTGTTTAAAAAGATTGGAGAAAGGAGTCTCCGGGCATTCTACATTATCAGGAATGTAATGACCTGAGTGAGAGAGGGTTCATTGATGAGTTCAGTGATATGCACCTTGTCAGTTGTGACTTTATCCAGGGACTGGGATGAAATAAAACTGCTGATGAATGCAACTTGGTGGCCAAAACTATTGGGTGGGAAGCAACAAATCCTGCACATTGGAGGTCAAGTTGAAAATGCTTGAGAAAGCATGTCGTCCCACATTTGTGCAGGAAATAGTACTTGTAACCAAGCATGGAGTATCTTTGTTATATCAATTATTGAAAGTGAAATTTACTTTTTTTGCATTACAACATCCTTTGCCTGTTAATT